GCGCGCGCGCACGCGCGCGCGCGCGCGCACGCGCGCGCAAATAGCATGTGCGTGACAGTGGGTGTACCCAATGTTGTGCATTTTTCGATCCGGAAGGATGCGCGAGGAACTTGCTTTTTCCATACCCAGGAAAAACTCACAGGGACTTTTGATTTATAGCATGTTCAAGGAGGAGTGTGCGTTTCCAGACCAAGAATTGCGTGGGGATTGTGGTTAGCTCATGGTAGCAGCACCGTACTCTGCCCATGCTGAGGTAGATTGTTGCGACCATTCTAAGCGCCGAAGGACAAAATAGATGAAGGCAGCCAAGCCGCGCGGTCTCGGGTGCGTTTGCGCGACCTGGGAGAACTGACCCTCAACTCCACGGGCAAAGCAGATGGAGCCAACTAAGCCACGCACAGCATGCAGCCGAACTTGCTATCACATCTTCTTCTAACATTTTTGTATACATCTGCAGATACATACACGCGTGTGCAGATGCTCACATACGCACCATGATGAAAAAGCATCGCTTGCCTGTGGTCAAGATAGCGCTCTCGCTGACAGCAGCACTTCGCTGTGCCAGAAGATGCAGCTCTACTTCTCCAAGGCCTTGCCGGATGTGGAAGCCATCGTGCAGAGCAAGGCCTGGTCTCAGATCTTGGCAGGAATATATTGCATGAAGCGAGTTTCGATGATATGGACCTCTATTTTCTTCTGGCAATTGTGTAGACATGCTGTCAGTGAGGCAAGTAAGGGTGAAATATCTGAATGACACGTGTGTTGTTGGCGCTTCATAAATACTGATAACGACGACGGCAACACGCGGGAGATGTGCCTGATCTGTATCGGACAAGTGGGAGAAACCTTTGCATGTTTGGGGAGGGATGGTCGCCTTCTCAGCAGGCTGCCCGAATGCCCAAGGCTCACATGTCGATCATGGGAGTTCTCGTTCTGATGACTCTGACAAGTGGCGAGTAGAGCCTGGTAGTGTGCTGCAAAATGGCGCAAATTCGCCTCGGTTCAGTCCATGACTGCCAGGTGATTGCGCTGAAAGAGGCGCGGGTCACCTACGTGGACGGGCGCCCTTTCCACGGCTATTGGCGGATCAGGTGTGGGTTCCTCACGTCACCATCAGATGTCTGGAATGACTGCTGGCTACTTGTGTTCCATGCCTTTGCAGACGCCGTAAGTAAATGCAGAAGCAAAGCTCCAGCAGCTACCCCAATGGCAAGTATAAGTGCGAAACAGGCAGAGCCTCAACTCGGCTTCCGCGGCCCGACCGGCTTGATTACCCCGAATAAATACCCAATATCCTGTCTTTTAGCCGAAGCCAGGCCAGCAACCTCGGCGGTTTCCAGGATTTTAACTTCCCTTTGCGACGACCTTGACCCTAAACGTTCCACTTTCTCTAGTTCTGTATCAAGCTGTGCCAAGGGATGGAATTGCGCCCTACGTGGCGGAATTTGCAAACAGGCAGCTCGATCGCAGGCAGTTATTCATCATATCACTCCGGACCTCAGAGTGAGACACATCGGAAGTGGCAGTTTTGCAGAGTGTACGACCCTCCAACTTACATCTGGTCTGAAGCGTGTCCGCGAGTGCATGCTCTCCACACCACACCATGTTTGTGGAGACTGTTGGATATCATATGAGCTAGGTAGGGTGGTTCTGCAATCCCAGGACAGGCATCCCTGTGGGAGGCGAACAGCTTCTTGGTGCCAGACTTGTTGTGCTGCTTGGATCCATCTGGGATCAAGATATTCAACGTTGTTCACACACCAGCGGCCCGTTCAAGGCATTTGTAAGAGCAGCGAGAAGTCAGCATGCAGAAACATGCGCAGGTGTTGACTTCATATGGGAGGAGGAGGATGCGGACGTGAAGACCATGCCGTATACTCTTGAGGCCACATGCCTCTACCGACCCGTCCGGTTCCACAAGTGCTAAGACGAGGTCTCCCCTACGAGCGACATAAACCCGTGCTCGGCTGAGTCGGGACGAGACTAAGTGGGCTCAGAAATGATGCTGTTACTGTTACTATTCCAATTGCTATTGCTATTGCTATTGCTTTTGCTATTGTCATTGCTATTATCATAGTGTGCCGAGAATCGAGAACCGTTAATGTACTTCGTCATGTGGGGCATCTTGCTCATCTTGGTTTCTTGGTGGAGGGGGAGGGGGTTCGGGGGTGCGTCATCTTTGTAATCTTAGTCATCTTGCATCAGTTGCGCATTACTTGCTGACCAAGATTACTACCCCCGGACCCCGAAAATCCTTCGTTTAGGGTAGGGTAGGGCGGGTAGGGTCGGGTTTAAGGGCGCGCCCTGCACCTGCATCGATTTAGGGTTTAGCATCGGTATAGGGTTTATGGGGCCATCGTCGGTTTATTGGTAATCCCAGAAAGTTGGAACATACGTTTAGGAGGATTAGTGCTAATTAAGGGCATGAGGATATTGATGTTCCAACTTTCTGGCTTCTACTGTAGGTGTTTGGGTTTGGGGTTTAGGGCTTAGGGCCTAGGGCTGTAGGGTTGCAGGGTCTATGGGTTTTAGGGTCTTAGGGATTACGGCTTGGGTGGTTTAGGGTTACGCGCGCCTGGCGCGCACATGGGCTCAGGTTTATAGGGTTTAGGGGTTTAGGGGTTTGGGTTCAGGGATTTAGGGTAGGGTTTAGGGGTGCGCAGCGCATGCATGTAATCTTGCTCGGCGGGTATTATTGGGTCTCGGTGGTGTCATCTTGGTAGTCTTGGACCACGTGCACCACTTGCTGACCAAGATTACCCCCCGATCTTGGTGACGTGTACTCTTGCCCCCCAAGCAAGATGATCAAGATGACGCGCTAACTTTCCCGCCCCCCGCCTGACCAAGATGACCAAGATAGGCATCTTCTTGCCCGGTTCTAACGGTTCCAAATTCCCGACACGCTGTATTGTTCTCAACATATTATTGTTCAACATGTTTACTACCTTTAGTTCCATTAACCTACTTATGTCCTTTTGGCAAATACACTTACTGCTGTTATTGCAAAGAGACTCAGCAGAGACTCGGCTTGGCTGAGACCGGCGCCTGTGTCTTGGCACAAAACCTACGCGGAGTTCAAGCACACCTCAGGCAGGGACCCTCACAATAAATTGATTTGTGAATGCTGGATACCATGGCAACAATAGCAATACTAACAATATTCATAGCACTAATAGTATCGATAATGGTAACAATAGTAGTAAATAGTAGTAACAACAATAATCATTGTAACCCTTCCAAGTTGCACTTTGAAAGGCTGGATGTCTTAAGCAAGTATCCCAGTCAGGACGGAGTTGACGCACTTAGCGTTGCTTGTGCTGCTTTACTGGGATAGTGACAGAACAGTCCTTCGAACGAGCTGCATGTCGTTCTTGAGAGCAAGCTCCGTGCACCAAAATCTCGCCCGGGAGCGCCTGCCAGAATACTCAACTCGCAGGCTACCGGAAAGCGCACCCTCCGACCTGTTTGTGTTTTTGGAAGATTAGCTTGGGAGCTGCTGCTCATCGGATTTGGAGGAAGTTGGTCTCTAAAGGACCTGAAAGTATAGCTCCTGGCGCTCAGCAGCTCGACGGCGGCCTCGCAGAGTGCCCACTGCACGGCAGGTATTTGGAGGTGCGGCGGCAATGGTGCAGCGCTTAGGTTGAGCCGGTGGTTGGCATGCTTCTGGTCGATAGGTGTGGGTTTCGAAAGACAGGATTTCATACGGCGCATGAGCAACCACAGTTGCGGCTTGTGGGCTTGACTGGTGATGCTTCACAGCTTGACCTTACTCAGGACAGAGTTTATGGTGTTAGCAGTGATCGACCGGCCGCAGCCTAACACTCGTCGGTGCTTGCACCAAGCTGCTTCTCAAGTGGAGGGGAGTGTTAGTTTTTGGCAGTGGACTGTCATACCCTTTGCTCATGAATTCCTGAAGTGTAGAGACTATATAGTGTATGTGTGTCCCATGACCAATCATCAGGTATCGACGTGAACGCAGACACCTGTTTGTTGACATTGACAATGCCAGGCCCCTGAACTACTGCAGAGCTACTTCGCAGCATGTCGCAGCGCTGCAGCACTGCGCCGTTGCACATCGTTCTAAAGTTGCCAGCATCTTGCGAGCGATATTCCTTGAAGTGCCACCAAGGTCGTGTCTCTCTCCATGGACCGCGTCAGGTCGGCTATTGCTGTCATGTGTTGGCCTGCCATCTGGAGCATGCCAGGAAAGAACTTGATAGCAAAACCTCAACATTGGAGACTTGTTAAATTCCCGAAGCAGGGTGGTAGCAGCAGTAGGGGTAATTAAACAGGATGTGGTCTGTGTGACCGCGAAGGGCCGTGGCCTGCTCGCAGATGATGTCACTTGCCATCCGTGAATCGTGCTCCCACCACGGTCCCCTGAGTGTTCTTTTGGTGCGCGGGAATTTTGCTCCGTCAACGCCCCGCGATCGTTTTTACTTTTTGCATTCCCTCGAAGTCGCCAAAGTCCTAGCAGGGCCTCGCTGTTCGCCTCTGGGCTCGTCGTGGTCTTCGAATTCCGCCCGGCACTGGGCCAAAATCGAAGTTGCGCTTCCGCACAGTCCCTCCGTAGCCGCACGATGCAGTACGTACATTTTGGTGCGGAACTACCGCTCCCACCGCAGTGCGGTGTATGTTCTGGGGTGTCAGTCGTCCTCCCGCCACAGTGTGGTGCGCGTTTGGACTGACGGGGTGGTCCTGTGAGCCCAAAAGGGGTGCTTCTCAGGGCTTGGACTGCGAGGTGCGACTGCACTGATACAATGGTAATGGCATGGAATGGCATTTTAGACTTGCTTCTCTGCGGTCCTTGCTCGGAGGTTTCCGTTGAATGGTGAGAGCTTTCAAAGACTCTTCGCTCCTGGCGCGAGAGTTCACTCGGACATCGCCTGTTGCAGTCAATCATCGTGTCCTTCCTCGCAAGACTCCGCCCCGGTCGTTTGCGTGAACGGGCTTCTCGCCTGCCTGTCTGGCTCGCCAGGCGGTGGAGGGGAGACAAAAATGCTTACAAGGCCAGCGAGGCCAGACTCAAAGCGACAGGAAATTCTGTTGTGAGTTTATCGGAGCCCACATGCACCAGTCCGAGAATGCAAAGCTTGCCCATGGTTTAGGTCATGAAAGATGTCCCGGTTCCGGGCGCAGCTGATGCGCTGCGAAGGCAGGCAGTCGGGCGTTGCTCAAACGGGAGCGAGGAAGCCATGCCATTTTTCACTCATGGCGCCCGAATCACTGATTCAGGGCATTTCTCTGCGAGGCTGCGAGAGCAGTACTTCATCCGCTTTCTCACTGCCCGTGGGTCCTACGAGGAGCCGAACGCACCGTGGTACTACCATAGAACCCTACGCTACAAGGGTCTAGGAAGGTTGCGAGTTCCGGTGATGGACAGGAAAGGTAGATCCACAGCATGAGATTCTCCATGGGCCAGCAGGACCCGTTCAACGTCACGCAGACGTGGCTTGAGCTAAATGACTTCGAGTATGACGAGTTGATCGTCGTGGATCGGCCCCAGTCCAAGGCCAGCGGGTGAAAGCAATGTAGGGGCCTTAATAATTACCTATACTATTTTAGAGGTGAGACAGGACTTGCATCGTTCGCCAGATCACCGCCTGCACATAACATCGAGTACCTAGCAACAGTACAGTCCAAGCTCCTTTCGAGCAGAAGGACTGAAGACCACGCTATAGTGATAGTCGTCGGAATGCCGGGCTTTTCTCCAGTAGTGATCAAAAACAACATTCCTTGCGAGTCGCCTTCTGACGAATATTACGATGTTCACCGGCTTGGTGCAGTCTTTTTTCTCCAGTGTTTTCGTGTTTTGCTGTCATTCTCGGACCAGTTTCACGAGACGCCAATCTTCTAGGCAATTCGGAAAATAAGCATTCTTACGTTGCCAGGCTGCTCATAGAAGTCACTTTGCACGACGAGATTCAAGGATGGATGTGGATCTCGCTGGATAAGGCCACTATCCGAGCTCAAAATGATTCGCAGAAGATGTGCCGAGTGCCTTGCGACCACACACCTCGTTGCAAGTCTGCCATGGGACAAGGACTAAGTTAGGTCTCGAAGATGTCGGAGCACAGGTCAAGGTGGCAATCAAGGCCAGCATAAAAAACTTGGAGAGTATTAAGAGGCTGGCAACCGGCTTTTCGAAAGAGGTTTAGGAGGGGTGTTGCTGGATGCGGATGCCAATGTCAGGATCGCCAGATGACAAGGGCATCACAAGCGTCAGGGTAAAGCTTTTCGGTCCGGAATTGAATGCAGCGGCCAGGATATGCTGTACAAGGGCTGGTCTAAATACGTATATATGTCGCCAATGACTCAACATTCATGGCGACTGCATGCCGATAGAGAATCCTATGGCTGCGAAAGCGTTTGGACGAAAGCGTTTGGAAGTTTCGCATGGCCTCGAAGAGCGTGTGCCCATGCGTGTGCAGCGGGAACCTTGACCTTGTAGCCTCCTACGCCCCGACCCCATCGCCCAAAAGTAAGACAGGCAAACCTGGAACCTGAAAAGCCTCCCTTCCGGCAGGAATGGTTTGAAGTCTTACCGTAAGTTCGGCTGTGTCCTGCACCGTGAGCGAACGGTAAAACTTATTGCGAGGGGTTAAGTAAGAGAGCACCACGGCAGCAGTCGGCGGTTTGTGAACCTCAGCCGAGATAATTCGGAAGGTCTGCCATCTTACTCCCGAGACCATCTTGGTAGATGATTTCACCCAGGGCCACGAGAAGGAGGCGCTCGGGTTGACAGTTCAGCCACGGGCCACTCCCAAGCCCGAACCTATTGCACCCGTCCCAAGTTGTAACATCGGACTGCAGTAGTTTTGCTACAGATGCACAATGACCTGTCTTACAGTCTTACGCGTTACATTAACTGTTCTGGGGCCACCGGAGGGTCCGAAACATCGCCACATCGTCTTAGCTGCATTTCTTTCTGCAGCGTCGCTTGCCGATTCCCCGACAGTGCGCAGTTGAAGGAGCCTTCGCTAAATCAGAAGTTCATGGACAAGCTCTCTGCCGTCACGACCCCAGAGCGGTGGTGTCTGAGGTTCTGATAGATAGGGGTTCTGGATGCGAGATTTGGCAGATTTGAGATGGGCAGCCAAGCACAAACTTTGGACATGCTCAGAGGCAAAATTGCCCTTTGTGCGGTTTCCGCTCGGCGGCAGCAACTTGTTTGCATTTCAGCTTGCAGTTTACGTGTCAAAGATTTGGACGGCCATGAACAGACTTCACCTCATAATGAATAAAGACAACAGACGATCGGTATGTTTGAACAGAGGGATACCAATATCTGAAAAAATACAATCCGAGGTTGGGATGAGATCATGCCCCAATTGGTTCGATAAAAGAAGGAAAAAATGAATGGAGAATAATTTTTGATATCATGATGACTATATATGAACTCAAAATAGAAAACAAGAAGATATTAACATATGTCAGTAGAAAAAATTAGAAAATTTTATTTTCAATTTATTTTTTACTTCATAGAAATTGCGATATAAGTTTTTTGAAATATAGATTTAAATAGTAAAAGTTAATCGAAAGTGCCAGAAATTCGAGTATCTTTACTCTTATTGAAACAAGGAGCAATTATCGATCCGAATCCTTATCTTCGATTGGAGAGAATCGAAATAAATTTGAAATTCTCTAAACGTAATACTTTTCCTTAATTTATTCTGGGTGATTTTAAATCTCGAGCCTCTCTTCATAAATATATCTTATTTCGTGATATTTGAAGAGAGAGTTTTTCATTTTTATACCGATAGGTCATTTATTTTTGGTACTATTAACGGTTATATTATATTTGAGATATCGATAAGGAGTGAGATTGATATTTAATAATAATTACTGATAGGTTTTTATTTGATTAGGGAATGAATATTTATTTCTAACTATTTATTAGTTCAAAGCGTAGATCTATAATTATTTATCTCTAATTAATTTGAGGAATGATAGTTAATTATATTCAGATTTGTCTTCTTTCTTATCTCTCTATTCTATAAAACGCTACGGTCAAACCAGCCCTATGCGGTGCGTCACGCCTCGGCGCGCCCCAGCCCCAAAATTTTCGCGAAATTTCTGGACCCCGGCGAGCAAGCCGA